CTGTAGGACCATGACTGTGCCACCCCAGTGTCCTGCACCCGGGAGCCCCCCAGAAGCACCATCCTACAGCTCCCTAGGACTACGGCCTGGGGGCCCAGCGTCTCAGAGACCCCCGCACCTCCTGCCCTGAAGCCTGGTGCCCATGAGCCCCCTGACAATCCCACCCTGGTTCCCGGTGCCCTAGAGCCCCCTGGCAGCTCCACTCCAGGGCCCAGCACCCCGGAGCCCCCCAGCAACACTGTGCCAGCCCCTACATGTAGCTCTATCCCAGGGCCATGCACCCCAGAGCCCCCTGGCAGTCCTGTGCCACCCCCTATATGTAGCTCTACCCCAGAGCCCCCCAGCAGCCCCGTGCCACCCCCTACATGTAGGTCTATGCCAGGGCCATGCACCTCAGAGCCCCCCAGCAACACCGTGCCAGCTCCCTTGTGCAGCCCCATCCCGGAGCCCACTGACAGCACCGTGCCACCCCCTACATGTGGCTCTGCCCCAGGGCTGTGCACCCCAGAGCCCCCCAGCAACACCATGCCAGCCCCCCTGTGTAGCTCCATCCCAGGGCCCAGCACTCCGGAGCCCCCCAGCAGCCCCGTGCCAGCCCCTACATGTAGCTCTGCCCCAGGGCCGTGCACCCCAGAGCCCCCCAGAAACACCGTGCTGCCCTGCAATTCCACCCCAGGGCCCAGCACCCTTGAGCCCCCTGGCAGCCCCGTGCCAGCCCCCCTGTGCAGCTCCATCCCAGGGCACAGCACCCCGGACCCCCCCAGCAGCGCTCCCCCAGTACCCTGCACCCCCAAGCCCTCTGGCATCATCAGCTCAGTGCCTTGCACCCCAAACTCCCTGGGTAGCACCACTCTGGCACCCTACACGCCCGGGACCCCTGGTGATGCCAGTCCAGCCTCCTGCACCCCAGGGCCCCCCGGCACCAGCTCCACCCCGCAGGAAGCTCCCTTCCATGGCTGGCGCATGGTGCCCACCAACCTCTCCTGCAGCCCCGTGACCACCGAGTCCTCGGCTGGAGATGAGAGTGCAGGTCCCTCGCCTTGCCAGGACACCCCTAAGGGTACCCAGTCCCCACCCCCTGCACCCCCAGAGCAGGGACCCTCTCCCACCCAAGGAGATAGGTCTGAGCGTGCTGGATTGGAGGCAGCAGCCACCCCCGTCCCCTCATCTGAGGTCACCCCGGGTGCTGTGTCCTGGATGTTGCCGCTGGTGTGGCTGGAGAAGAGCCTCAACGCCTCGTCCCTGCTGGAGTCTCTGAGGCACAGCCTGCCCCTGCCCGCGTCGCAGCGGGATGCCCACACTGGCGTCACCCCCGTGTCCACCGCGGTGGCCGGGACCAGCGTCACCCCCGTGTCCACCGCAGTCGCTGGGACCAGCATCACCCCCGTGTCCACCGCGGTGGCCGGCACCTTCATGACCCCCCGGGACCTGCAGGAGAGGAGCACGAACACATCTGTGGATGCCCCCCCCTCTGCCAAGGACAGCGCTGCCGAAACGGACTCCTTGCTCTGGCAGTAAGTGTGGGGACGTGCCCCCCCACCCCGGGATGGGGCTGTGGCACCCATGGGCTGTCTCTTCCGCAAACCTCCTCTCTCTGTCCCCAGCTGTCCCCGGGAGCAGCTGAAGTCCTTGCCCCGGGCAGAGCTGGAGGGGCGGCTGGAGAGCACCCTCATCATCATGGAAGCCCTTTCCCTCCGGCTGCGCCACTGGCAGGAGAGCCAGAGACCGCTGCTCGGCGTGGGGCCGGCCGAGCAGAGGGATGCGCTCACCCAGACGGATGTCACCCACCCCAAAGGGGTAAGAAATCCTCCCTGGGGTGATGCCACCCCATTCCCTGTGGCCTCGGTGCCCTGAGAGTGCCCGCAATGCTACTGGGTCACAGAGGTGAAGTGGGGCTGCTGTGGCACAGCATCCTGTGCCCAGTTCAACCTGATATTTTTGCTGGATTTGAACACTTTGCGTGGGGAAACATCCCTGGAATTGGTGGGGAGGGGAGGTGTCACAGCCAAATGGCTCTCGCTGGACCCCGGGGTGGAGCAGGGCTGGTGTGATGCCCCCTCTGCTGCAATGCCCATAGGAGGAGGAGATCTACTGCAACCTCTACCTCAACCTGCGGAGGAAAACGGAGGCTCTGCAGCGGCAGCGGGGAGCAGAGCAGGACCTGCAGCGGGAGCTGGAGCTGGCTGCTGCAGGGATGGTGAGTCTCGACCGTCTGATGTGCAATGAGCATGCCGGGTCTCAGCCAGGCAGGACAGACGTGTGCCCAGAGCTGCCTGTGCCAGCGCTGAGAACGCTGAGTGCTGGTGCCCTTGTCCCTTCCCCAGAGCACCTGGAGCAAACAGTGCCTCCTGTTTCGGGGCCTTATGGATGATGCCTTCCAGACCTTGCAGGATGAGCAGGGAGCCCTCTCCCAGAAGGTGAGACCCCACACAGCCGGGCTGGTCCCCTTTTCCCCCCAGTTTTGGGAGACGCTGGCACTGCTGGTACACATGGCGGCAGTTGACTATACCCAGTGCCTCCCGGCGCTGTCCCCTCTCACAGCAGGAGCAGGTGAAGGTCCTGGTGTCACGGTGTCGGGCTGTGCTGGAAAACGTGCCCGACAAGCTACGGAGCTGCCTGGAGGAACGGGATGCCATGAGGCAGAGAGCGGATGAAGCCATCCGAGCCAAGGAGGAGGTAGAGGGGCAGCCAGTGTGGGGGGTGTCAGGGCAGGATCTGCTGTCCCCATGCTTCTGGTGGGGCATCCTGCATCTGTACATCTTCCAGGCGTGAAGGTCTCTCTGGCATCCCAGGGGAAAACCCAGTGTGGTCCTGGAAGTGCTTGTGGCTGCTTGGGGTGGCTGGAGTTCCTTGGGATGGGTTTTTGGCTCGGGCTGTGTCCTGCTGGGCATGTGTTGGGGTGGTTCTCAGGAGCTGTCCCTCCTGTGACACCGTGCCCAGAGGAGCATCCTTCCCTTGGCAGGGAGATCGCTTCCTGGAGGCCTTCCGTGCCCATGCCAGTGCCCAGATCAGTGCCCGTGACCAGAGCCTGGCCTCCCAGCAAGATCTGAGCACGCTGCTGGCAGATGCCATCAATGAGCAGGTACTGAGCAGGGGGGGCACCTCCAACTGCCTCTCATCTGGGTCCCTGGGGGGCTAGACAGGCACCCCCATGTCCTGAGCTTGGGTGATGCTCTGAGCAATGATCTGTGATGGGCTTGGGTCCACCAGAGATTTCTCGGTGCTGCTGCTGGGAAACTGCTGCAGATCCGGCCTCGGGGCTGGTGCTCGCCTCCCTCTACAGTCATGGAATGTGGTTCCTCCACCATGGCAGCACTGACCCGTTTTTCCTGCCCCACAGGCATCTCTGGCTGCCAACGCTCAGTCTTTCCGGGAATTCATAGATGCCACCTTTGAAAACCTGGAGGAGGAAAGGAGAGCCCTGGACGTGGAGGTGAGGAGTGTCCCGGCGGGGGCCTGGCAGTTGGGCTCAGCTCCTTGTTTCCCTGCCAGCGTGGTGCAGGCTGGTTCCACCTCACTCTGCCCCAGAGCCCTTTGTGTCCTGGGTACCGTGGGCAGCCTGGCTGCCAACCCCAACCGTTGTCCCACAGTGGGGCAGTGCCACCAGCCATCACAGCTCTGAGGCTGGCGGTGCCATGCTAAGCTCTGCCCGGTGCCATCTTCCCTCACAGCGAGAAGAGGTGAGGGCCCTGGTGTCCCGGTGTCGGGCTGTGCTGGAGAATGTGCCCGGCAAGCTGCAGGGCTGCCTGGAGGAGCGGGATGACATGAGGCAACAAGCAGATGAAGCTCTTCAAGCCAAGGAGGAGGTAAGGGTTGCCTAGTGCTGAGTGGTGCCTGGCAGGGGGAGGTCTGGGATGCTCCCCTCCAGCCTGGCTGACCCCAGGTATGGAGGTCCCCTTGGTGTGGGAACACCCCATGGGGAAGAAGAGCAACCCAAAGTGAGTCTGGAGGTCATGGTGTCTCTCCAGGCATCCGTTCAACTGGAGGAGACCTCAGTGGCCCTGCGAGATGCGGAGGCTCAGCTGGAGCAGCTGACGGTGGCCAACTCACGCCTCAGCACAGGTAGGGGGTGGGTGACACGGGGGGTGGTGCTGTCCCTGTCCCTTCTGACCCCCGTTGTTGATGGCTCTGCCCCTTGCAGATCTGACCTCCCTGATGACAAATCTGGCCAGCCTGGAGCAGGAGAGGGATGCGCTGCAGCAGGAGAACGAGAATCAGTGGGAGGAGATAGCCCGGTGGGTCCGAGTCCTAGGGGGGACAGGACAATTGGCATCCCCCACAGCCACCTCCTACCACCCTTTGCCCTCCCCCCAAAAAAATGTGGTACCCCCTGACCCCCTCCCGTCCCCGCAGGCTGGCACAGCAGAGGGACACCCTGCAGCGGGAGTGCAACGGGCTGCTCCAGGAGCTGCGGGAGGCCACCGAGTGCCGGGAGGTAGGAGCTGCCTGACCCTGCCCACGCTGTCACGCGCTTGCCCGGGTCCCCGTCACGGCCCGGCGGGATGGCTGGCTACTGGCCAGGAGTGGGATTAGCCCTCCCACGGTGATGGGGGTGGTTGACATCCCGCACGTAGCGCTGCTCTCCATCCCGCCCAGCGGCCATTCCTCGGTGGGGGATGGGGGGATGAGAGCTCTCTGGGATAATTCCCTTGGCTGCAGCCATGGTGCTGTCCCCCAGCCTGTCCTACGTCCCCAGGAAACCACTGGTCTCTAAGGGTTGGTCTGTTAGGAGAAAAGCTGCCCCAAATTGGAAGCAGCACCTTGAGGTGTGGGAGGGACCGTGCTGGGGGTCCCCATGGGCCCCCTCGTGTCTCCAGCCAGGTGCTTATCACAGAATCATATGGGGTTGGAAGGGACCTCTAGAGATCATCTAGTCAAACCCCTTGCCAGAGCAGGTCCACCCAGGTTGCACAGGAACTTGTCCAGGTGGGTTTCAAATGTCTCCAGAAGAAGAAGACTTCACCTCTCTGGACAGCTTGTTCCAGGGCTCTGCCACCCTCAAAGTAAAGAAGTTCCTCCTCATGTTTAGGTGGAACTTCTTATACTCAAGTTTGTGCCCGTTTCCTCTTGTCCTGTCACTAGGCAGCACTGAACAAAGACCAGCCCTGTCCTCCTGACACCCTCCCCTTAAGTATTTATAAGCGTTGATTAGATCCCCTAAGTCTTCTCAAGACTAAAAAGACCCAAGTCTTCATAAGAGAGATGCTCCAGGCCCTTTGCTGTACCCTCTCCAGCAGTTCCCTGTCCTTCTTGAACTGGGGAGCCCAGAACTGAACACAGTACTCCAGATGGGGTCTCACCAGGGCAGAGTAGAGGGGCAGGATAACCTCCCTCGACCTCCTGGCCCTCATGGCTGTGTTCCCCTCCACCCTCTTGCAGTTCCTCGACCAGGAGAACCGCATGTCCCGCACGCAGCTGCTGGAGCTGGAGGCCAGGCAGAAGTCCACGCTGGCCACCCTGCAGGAGCGCAACTTGCAGTACGAGGAGCTGATGGAGTCCCACCAGCGCTTACGGTACTGACCCTGCTCACTGCCTTCACTTGAACCCCTCTATTTTGGGAAATTGAGCTCCTCCTGGGGGGTGGGGGACACACAGGGGGACCCAGCTCCAGTCACTGCTCTCTAGCCAAGTGTGGTTGCCCAGGTGGGTGGAAGAGGCTGTGGGGAAGCCCAGCAGACCCCATCTTGGGGGAAGCCGCCTAAATCTGTGAGGTTTGCATCCCCCTGGGTCACAGTGGGAGGCAGGAGTGTGAAATGTCCCCCAAATGCCACATTGAGGAGGGGGAAACGCTGCTCCCACTGAGGCTGGTGCCATCCTGCAGGGAAGAGCAGGCTGCCCTCAGCGTGGAGCTGGAGACCACCAAGGCTGAGCTCCGGGACTTGCAGCTCAAGAGGGAGAAAGTCTCCTGGTGCTCCACAGACATCACCGAGAGCAAGATACGGCTGCAGGAGCTCGCCGACTGCCTCAGGGCTGCTCTGCAAGAGGAGGTAGGAGCCCTTCCCCAGGGACAATGACAAGAAAGTGGTCCCAGGGGGGAAACCAGACCCCTGAGGCTCTCCATGGTGTGGCTTTGAGACAACCCCCCCCTCCATCTTGCTGGGGCAGCGCAGAGCTGTCACAAGCAGCTCTCCAGTGCCATGCTCTCCCTCCCCTCTGAAGGATGAAGATGCCCCATCAAGAAGCAGAACCTGGACCCCAGCTCCACGGACACCGAGCTGGCAGACCCCAGGCCGTGCCTGGACCCCTGCGTGCCGCACACCAGCCTGCCGTACCCCGTACCGTGCCGGGGACTCCTTCGTGGGCAGCGTCCTGAAAGCGGTGTCGGGGAAAGGTGGGCTGGGACCCTCTGGGTTGGGTGGTCCCTGTGTGGGGATGGGGATTGCTCCCTCCCATGCTGGGTATGTTCATGGGTGCTGGGTGAGGAGGAGATCCCAATGCCATTCCCATGCCCTTCCCTGTGGATTCCCTGGTTGTTCCCTCGTGGTAGCCATGGGCTGGGTCACGGGTCCTGTCGGCAGCTGGGGTCTTATCTCCGAGCTCCCTGGGTGGATGGGGGGTGTGGGTGAGCTCTGGTTGTGCTCCTCGAGACACGCAGGGCTGGGGACAGCAAAGCCTCTGTCCTCTCCTCTCACAGATGCTGATGAAGCCTCCGGAGGTGGGAGTGTGTTCACCAAGGACAAATCTGCCTCTACACCGAAGCCAATGGGTACTGGGGCTGTCACCCTACCCTGGGCCCTGCTCCAAAGCTGCAGGGCTGCCTGCTGTGGGGGATGAGCAGCTGTGCCTTCCTGCTGGGCTCTGTGTCCCCTGGGGCTGACATTCCCTCCGTGCCACTCACGAGCCTCTGTCCTGTCCACAGAGCCTGAGGACGGTCTGCTGGAGAGCGTGAAGGAGCTGAGATCTGTGGTCTCCAGCCTTGCCATGCTGAGTTCCCGCATCGAGGAGCTGGAGCAGAGCGAGTTCAAGGCGCTGCAGACAGAGATGTGAGTTCAGTGGGGGCAGTTGGACCTCCTGCTGTGGCCAGAAGGGCTTATTGCAGCTGGCCGGGTTGGAGGGTTGGCCTCTCCAACCATGGGGCTGGTGGGATGTCCAGGATTGGGGTTTGGTGCTGGGCACCATGCTCCCCACTGACTCAACCCCGCTCTGCTCTCCCAGCTCCGACCTGCAGCTCCAGCTGAAGACGGTGACAGCTGAGAGCCAGGAGAAGATGGATGCCCAGGCTGCCACCATTGCCAAGCTGAACAAGGCGCTGAGGGGCAAGCTACAGGTGAGCCAGTGCCAGAAATGGGCCAGTGCTCACCCCAGGGCAGAGCCAAACTGGGACAGGTGCTGATCTAGGACATGGAGAAATCTGGGTGACCGGCTCTGGTGATGCCCCATGGGTGCTCCTGGCTTGTCTGACCTTCTCGAACATGAGAAAGCCTGCTCCCCCCGTGATGTCCTGGGGGTGGCAGGGCCTGGGCACTGCCTGACACCGCTTCTTCCCCTCTACAGAATGAGAAGGAGCTGCAGGATGTGGTGAAACGGCAGGAAGAGAAGATGCTGCAACTCATTGACAAGAGCGGGGAAGTCACGGTGAGTGATGGAGGCCTGGCTGGTCTCTGTGTCTGGGGGGTGCCAACCATGGGACCCCTCTCAGCATCTCCTTTCTCCCCGCAGACGCTGAAGGAAGAGATCTCCCAGTTAAAGCGCTCCCTCCAGCGCGCGGAGACAGAGGCCAAGGTGCTGTGGGAGGAGATGCGGGGGCAGGAACCCAAGGTGGATGCTGTCTATGTCCAGGAACGAGTCATGCTGCGGCAGGAGGTGAGGCAGGGGGGCTGCCAGGGCTTGAGGGCTCCTCGTGTCACCACCCCCTCAAGACCTTGAGCAGGCAACCCCAGGACTCTTGCTCCACGTCGAGCTCTCAGCGGTCCTCACTCTGTTTGCAGGTGGACAAACTGCGGCTGCTGCTCCTGGAGAAAGGGAATGAGAACCTGCTGCTCTCCGACAAGTACCGGGAACAGGTATGGGGAGCCTCAACCACCTGCCCTGGCTCTAGTCCCCTGTTTTGGGGCAGGCTTCTGACAGGCATCTCCCACCACAGGTCCGAGGGCTGGAGATGAGACTCCAGCACGCTCAGAAAGTGCTGAGGAGCCATGAGGAGATGCAGGAGAAGATGAGAGAGGTGAGGTTTTGTGGTTCATCGCTCGCACCCTTACTGTGATTGCAGCAATGCACTAATCCTGCTGCCCTCCCCAGGTCCTGTGGGCCATCCCTGATGCTGCAGCTCACTGCCAGGAGTTCCCCAACCTCCTGCAGTACTTGGGCCTGAAGCTGGACAGTGGCACCAAGGAAGCCGCTGAGCCGCTGTAGCCTGAAACCTTCCTCTTCTTAATGTTGTAATTATGTATTGAATAAAGTTTTGTTGGCTTTTTACCCCGCCTTGGTGGTGCTGCGTGGATGCAGGAAGCTCCCGGTGCCCTGGGTGGGGACAACTTGTCCAGCCTGTGCTGGCTGTGCCTGCTCCTTCCCCGTCACGGGGCTGTGGGTTTGGCTCCCTGCCACCCCAGGGCCTCTCCTCCTTGGCTGGGGGGGGGACGGACATGTGTACCCCCCCACACACAGCGCTTGCTCTCAATAAGAGGCCATGTTCCCCAGGCTCCCACCCTGCGGCCCCAGCAGCTCCAGGGCTGACCTAGCTTCCCTCCCCGGGCCCCTGCTCCTCCTTCTTCTCCTGCCCTAGATTTCCCCCTGCGGAGGGTGTCGGAGGCTGGATCCTCTCTGTCCCCCCCCCTCTCCATCACGGGGCCCTGGCCCACACGCCTGTTGCATGGGGATGGTTCTCCTGGTGTGGATCCACCATCCCCTGGGTCTCAGCAAGCTCTGCCTGCCAGGGACTGGGAGCTCTGCCAGCTCCTTCTCCCAACCCCCCCCTTGGCACCCGCTCCTCCATCGGGGGAGAGGAGGGGGGGCTCCCTTAGGGCCACCCCTATTCCCAGCACAGCTCCAGACTTACCTCCCTCCTCCCCTCTTAGGGCATCTCCTGCGGGAACCCCCCTCCAGGTGTTCCCGACCCCAAGGATGCTCCCTGGCGCCATGGGGGGGCCGTGTGGCACCTCCCTCCCCCCAGCATGGCCCAAAATAGCAGCGTTCAGACAAGTGCTCTGGTTTTTAATGGCCTGTTTCTTCTGCCAGGGGGGTGGGAATCACCTTCCCCTGCCCTCTGCCCCAGCCTCACCACCCTCCGTGGGGCGGGTGCTGTGTCACCCCAGATACTGGCACCTTTATTTACTCCCCCCCACCCTACGCATCCAGGGAATGGAGGTGTTTGGGGTTGTTCCTCTTATTTACGGGGTGGGTTTGTGGGTGGCTGGTGGGGAAGCAGCACTTGCTGCTCCCTGGCATCGCCTCCCTCCCCGCTGTAGCTGTGACCCGGCTGGCAGGGGGTTGGATACGGCCCCCCCGAGGTGAAGGGGCTGGCAGTGGGGGGCCCAGGCTGTGCCCAACTCTGGGATGGTGGGGAGGGGGGGGGAGATGCCTTCTCCTCCCTGGATCGGGGCCACACGGGGCGGCTGAGCCCTCCTTTTACGGCGGGGATTCAGCAGAACATGGCCCTGGCAGCTGGCCCCGGGGGGTGAGTGGGGACACTCTTATTGTCCCTGTGCTGGCTCCGGGAGGCTTTTTGGGGAGGGGGGGGGCACCGATCGCCTGTGGGAGCCCCCACCCTGTCCCGGGAGTCTGGAGCTCTGCACTGCTGGGGCTTGATCCTTGGAAGAAGAGGTGATGTGGCTTGAGGGTCCCTGGCACAGCAGTGGTGGGGTCCTCTCCAGCCTGGGGGTGGCATGGGGGGGCGGTCCTTGGCCCAGAGTTGGTGAGGGGGAGGTTTCTGTATAGTTTGCAGTGGCAATAGGGTGGCACAGTGGGGTCCCCAGGGAGGGGGAGGAAGGGGGTAGGGAGGGGAATCTGTCCCCACAGCAAGATCTGCAGCACAGAGGGGTCTCCAGCAGAAAAAGGAGGTGGCACAGTGGGGTGCCTGGGTGGCAGAGTGGGGTCCCGGGGGGGGGAGGAAGGGGAATCCCTCCCCACAGCAAGGTCTGCAGCACAGAGGAGTCTCCAGCAGCACAAGGGGGTGGCACAGTGAGGTGCCTGGGTGCCATAGGGGTCCCTGCTTATGATGGGGTGTAACTCCAGACCCTGGCCAGGATGGGGGGGGTCATAGAGGTGTCCCCACCAGCACTAGTGGGTTGCAAAGGGGTCGTACAAGGGGGTCCCCAGCCTG